GATGTCGTTCTGGCTCATCTGCGGCGTTTAGGGCTGAGGCTCAACGCAAAGAAGAGCATGCTCGCGCCCACCCAACGGACTACATTCCTAGGGGTTGTATGGGATTCGACAACGATGCGGGCACAATTGTCTCCGGCACGTGTCGACACCATATTGGCTGCCGTAAGAGGGGTGAAGTTAGGCCACGCCATCACTATGAAACACTTTCAACGATTGGGTTGGGTCTCCTGGCGGCTGCGTCCAGCGTAATACCATCTGGACTGCTGCACATGAGACCCCTGCAGTGGTGACTAAGGAACAAGGGTTTTTCCCCGAGGGGAAATCCTCTCCGTCTGATTTGGGTTACGCGCAAGTGTCTTCGTTCCCTATCAGTTTGGAAGGAAACTTGGTTCCTGTCCCAGGGGCCCGTGTTGGGAGGGTCTTGTCGCCGGCTGGTTATTTCGACAGACGTCTCCCTCATGGGCTGGGGCGCGGTCATGGACGGCCGCTTTGCAAGGGGATCCTGGCAGGTGCATCAATCCGAGTGGCATATCAACTGTCTCGAGATGTTGGCGGTGTTCCAGGCTCTAAGGAGTATCCTGCCTGATCTCCAAGGCCACCACGTCCTGGTTCGTTCCGACAACACAGCAGTGGTGGCCTATCTGAATCACCAGGGCGGTCTGCACTCGCGCCCTCTGGACAGACTGGCGCGTCAGATCCTCCTGTGGTCCCAGCAGAGGTTACTATCGCTCAGGGCAATTTATCTCCCGGGGACACAGAATCAGGGAGCAGACCTGCTGTCGAGGCAGGGGCTGAGGCCCGGGGAATGGAGACTTCACCCTGAAGTGGTGGAGCTCTTGTGCGAAGAGTTCGGCCCCATAGACGTGGATCTGTTTGCGTCTCAAGAGACTACGCACTGCCCGCTATGGTTTTCTCTCGTTCCTCCAGACCCAACGGGGCTGGACGCCATGGTACATTCCTGGCCGAGGCTACGTCTGTACACTTTTCGTTTTGGAGCGGGTCCGCCAGGACAATGTCGGCCTACTGCTCGTAGCCCCGTTCTGGCCAACCCGGGTGTGGTTCTTGGACATCATGTCGCTCCTGGACGGCCCACCGTGGCGGGTCCCTCTGAGGAGAGACCTGCTGTCCCAGGCGCAGGGCCGGGTTCTTCACCCTTGCCCCGCCATATGGCGACTGTGGGTCTGGCCCCTGAGGGGGCACAGTACCTAGAGGCGGGTCTAACAGCCGGAGCAATCGAGACCCTCCTGAGCTCCAGGGCCCCGTCCACACGGAGGATGTACGGCCTGAAGTGGAGCGTTTTCTCCACTTGGTGTAGGGAGCGGTCGGTGGACCCTGTTACCTGCCCGGTGGTTCAGGTACTTGAGTTCCTCCAGGACCGGTTCTCTGCTGGTCTTTCCCCTTCCACCCTCAAGGTGTACGTGGCAGCTATTTCGTCTTTCCACACCGCTCTGAGGGAGGGGTCCTTGGGGAAACTTCCCTTGGTTGTACGTTTCCTCCGTGGTGCCCGGAGGATGAGACCTGCGACTCGGTCCAAGGTTCCCACTTGGGATCTGGCAGTGGTTCTTGGGGCGTTGGCTGAGGCCCCCCTTCGAACTCCTGGAGTCAGCTGAGGCTAAGCACTTGACCCTCAAGATGGCCTTTCTCCTTGCTATCACCTCTCTGAGGAGGGTGGGGGGATCTCCAAGCGCTTTCGGTTTCCCCGCAAAGCCTGGAGTTTGCCCCGGGGAATATTAGGGCTATCCTGCACCCTCGTTCAAGATACATCCCTAAAGTGTTTTCTTGTGCGGCAGGGTCCACAGTGCTGCAGGCATTTCATCCTCCACCTCATGTGACGGCGGAGGACGGGAGACTTCATCTGCTCTGCCCTGTCAGAGCACTGAGTATTTACACTCTGAGGTCCTCCCGTTGGAGGAAGGCTGACCAGCTGCTAGTGTGTTTTGGGTCCCCCAGGGCTGGGCTCCCTGCATCCAAACATACTATTAGCAACTGGATTGTTCAGACTATTTCCCTGGCCTATCAGGTGCGCGGTTTGCCTTCACCTGTGGCTGTGAGGGCTCATTCTACCAGAGGCATGGCGGCCTCTCGAGCCCTTCTTTCCGGGGCCTCTTTGCAGGATGTTTGTTTAGCGGCTGGCTGGGCCACTCCGCACACATTCATTCGGTTTTACAGTCTTGACCTTCCTTCGGCACCTGGCACTCGTGCGCTCTCCTCTTAGTCGTGCCACTTTATTGCACACAGGGGCAGGCGGGGTTTTCGGCACGGTTTAGTGGGTATCTCGTTCCCATAGTGTCGTAACTGACGCAGTTCGAGTTCCCTCGAAGGGGAACGTCTCGGGTTACGTAGAGAAGACGATGCGGGCACAATTGTCTCCGGCACGTGTCGACACCATATTGGCTGCCGTAAGAGGGGTGAAGTTAGGCCACGCCATCACTATGAAACACTTTCAACGATTGGGTTGGGTCTCCTGGCGGCTGCGTCCAGCGTGAGACACTGCGTCGGCCCGCCGCACCTCTCTCCCCGCCTGAAGCGCCTGCTTCATAGTTTAAGCTAATGATGAGTGTGTACAGGTGTGCTTTATACTCCTCCGGTTATTCCGTCACACCTTACCATTCTAGCAACAAGCCAATAGGATTGGAGTGATTTAATTCACGTTCACACCTGCTTCGCCTAGAGGCGTTCCCATAGTGTTGTAACCGACGCAGTGTCTTGTTCCCCTTCTCGGGGAACCAGGGTTACATACGTAACCCGAGACGTTTTGTATGGCCTAGATACTTTACAGAGAAAATACTTATAATTTCCTTAAATGTTCTACATGATTGTATGAACCATAGGCGTATATAAATAGTTTTTCATTGGAATAACACATTTTATCAAATACAATCATTAAGCACATCATTGATGAGCTGGTAGTGATAGATGATTTGTCTCAGAGAAACGGTACCAGGCCTGTAACGGTGAGGCTTTTACCCAGTAAAGTTAGCAGGGGCATCTTTCGGGTAGTCTTAGTAGCATCCGTTGGGCTTTGCCACTGGTGGATTAAGGCGTTATGCTGAGATTGTTTATATTCTTTCTCGAGAAAGTATCAAAAAACAGGCAGTTAACCTATGTAATTTTTTTAAACAAATGATCTTATGAACCATTAACAACTCATGTATAAATGGTTTGTCATTAAAATAATAATTCATTTATAAATGGTGAACAATAAAGAATACAAAATGTATAACTATGTTTATAAATGACTTACCAATGTGTATTAACGCAAGAACAATGGTTTATAAATTATGAATTAAAAATGTACTAATACTGAACAACTGTGTGTAGATAACAAAGAATAATAAAAATATAACTGACTTACTAATGTGTATTAATGCATGCATAATGCTTTATAAATGATGAATTCCTTATTTGCTAATGCTTAACTAATGCTTTATAGTGTGTCGTTATTATAAAGTGCTATCTCATAGTAGATTTGAACCCGGGTCTCTCACACCAAAGGTATGTGTCTTATCTCTTTCAGCTCACACAGTCAAACACATCACCAGTGGGAGCTGCCCAGTACAACCAGTCTGATATAACCAGACACTGAGCAGCTTTACTGGAGAGGCTTTGCTTTAGCAGTGTGCTCTAAAGTTTTAGTCACTCACATTCTGTTTAGACTTTTGCTGACAGTTAAGTTAAGCATAAGCTAAATAAATAAATGTAAATATAGGCAACGGGGGCCCTAAGCTGTCACGCTCTGCCGGTCAGCCATTCTTTGTGTTGCACTTTTGAGTTTAGTATCTGCCTTATAGTATGTTGGGTTTTGGGGGTCTGTCTTGTCTGTCGTCTAGTGTCGTCAATAACCCTTGTCATGTCTGTTACCCCAGTGATCCCTCTGCATGTCTGTCTCTGTTTTCCCCTGCCTGTGCCTCGTTAGCCTCATGTCTTTCACCTGTGTTGCTCTCGCCCTGCTTGTTAGTCTCTGTGTATATATACCTGGTGTTTCTGTCTTGTCTTTGTTGGGTCATTGTTTATTGTCACCCAGTGTTGCAGTTTGTTCTCATGTCTTCAGCCCTACTCGCCGTGTCTCCCTGTTACCCTGCTCATTTTTGGATTCTGGTTTTCACCCTTTTGGATTTCTGTTGGACAGCCTTTGTTTTTTGGACTCAGTCAATCAGCCACTCTGTTTGTAAGTGTGCTTGCTTTTTGTTTGTTAAATAAATCACCTTTTTTGAACCGTACCTCCTCTGCCTTGCGTCCTGCGTTTGGGTCCTCCAACCTGTCACCACACCACTTATCGTGACATAAGCAAGATCTTCCTTGCTTTGCCTGGAGCTAAGAATGGTGAAATAACACCATAAACTACATAAAATTATTGTATTTATAAAATCTGTTGTATAAATTTGCTTTTTAAAAGATGCAGTTACAAAGTTCTTCATATACATGATAGGACACACACATGCAAATAAAAGTATACATACACAGAGGCGTTGTTAGGCTCTTGAAACATTGGGAGCTTAGCCAAGCCCAGGAATCTTGACTTTGACAAAAAAAATTTTTTCTTGGTTGCACTGGTGCAACTGACATTTCACAGGACAAATTTTGTCGGCCACATCTTTATGTGTGTGTGTGTGTGTTCTTTCCCAAAACTCACTTGCAGAAGTCTGTGTCGCCCTGTAATTACACTGACCCTTAGCATAATAGGGAAATAAGGCCCAGAGCCCTGCAATACTTTGTCAGTGCAGTGTTTCCCATAAATTTACGAGACCATGGCGGCCTGCCACAGTCTAATTTGTTCCGCCATTGTCTCAAAATTAACCGAAAATATTTTTACACATCTCACAATAACATTACAGACCTCTAACGTTGCGTTTTGTGGCCGCTGCTCCCCGCTGCAGTAAACTTGCGTGCTCACACACTTCGGCATCCAACTCAAGACAACCACTTTTCTTTTTAGGTAAAGACAGTAACATCAACGGTCTGTTTCTGTCACTTGTTTTTGAGAAGGCGATTAAGCTAGCCACACCTAAATGTGTAGTGCACATGTATTCAAGCCTTTATGGTAAATCCACTGAAGTGCGAGCTGACAGGCAGGTCAGCGACTTTATCCTGTCATTTTCTCTTTACAAAGACAAGTGTTGTAGTATGAGAGTCCTACCTGACGAGAAGCTATGAAGTCTTCATGTTATGTGATACGAGAACCACATACAACATAATTTATCAAATTGGGTCGGACTTGATGAACTTAGACCCCCCGAGACGGTCCGGGACCCACCCACCATACTCTCTTAAAATCCTATGGGGAAAACACTGCAGTGAATGATAAACCTGATTTTTCTTCCATACAGCTTTTCCGCTTGCTCTGACCTATAATTACTGTAAATCACACTGTAGTTAGGGTTTTGATGTTGTTTAACTGTTATTTTTAGCTCATACATTTTACAATGTTCTCTGGTGTTTTTAGTTTGTATTGGTCCAATATTCTCTTATTTCATGTTCCCACTGCGTTTTTACAAGCAAACCAAGAGGAGAAATCATCTGGTCACATTGTAACACAGTAATTCTCTGACTGTTCTCTGGTTGTAAGTTTAGCTTATACACCACAAATGTTTGCCAGAAATAAAGTACACAAGAGCGATTCTGGAAGCAGACCACTCCATAGATTGAATGAAGCAAAGATCATTTAAGTTCGTTTGAATTATTGTGTGTCAAACAAGCAGAAAATAACCAATACATACATGTACAGGCATAACAACTTGATTTTCCTGATGATTCACTCACTTCACCGCTACAGGTTTATTGTGTCACTACCAATTTGCACTGACAGGTAGCGTCAAGGTAACTTGTAAGAGCAGGAGTGACTAAACCAAACAAGCTGGTGAACAAACACAGCAAAGTGAAAGCTGCACAGAAATATACACTGCACTGTTGATTCACAATGGGATCAGCAGTACTATGACCAAGACTTGAATGTCAGGGGAAACCATCCGATTCGTTATTTTAATCTTTTCACTTTAAGTCAAATGACCTTTACCCTGTTTTTGAATCTGTGTGGACAGACATAATGTGGGCTAACTCTTCATGATTCCTCCACAGAGTCCACCAGGAGAGCTCAGAGGTTCCCGGTGGTCAGTCTGCCCAGCAGCATCAAACACACCTGGACTCCATATTTATGGTCTGTACATGTACAACAACTACTTTTACATCTATTCTGTTCACAATAATCTCCACGCTGCACTTTTTAGACCAGTGGATTGTCAGTCTGTCCAACATGGATCTGATGTTTGGTTCCATGATTTGACTTTGATTGTGTCCTTCATATAATATTCTGTTCCAGCTACTGGAGGACAACATTGTCACTTTTGTGAAGAACGAGCTGAAGAAGATCCAGAAGGCTCTGAGTTCAGATTACCCAGAATGCTTAGAGAGTCAGAGGGAGGATGAGGAGGTGTTGGAGGGTGAGGAGGAAGAGCAGAGGAGGAGCAGCAGGGAGGCATTTCTGAAGATCACACTGCACTTCCTGAGGAGAATGAAGCAGGAGGAGCTGGCTGAGCGTCTGCAGAGCAGTAAGAGGATTTCTCTAAAGATTTAAGCTGCTGGATAAACGGATTACTGATGGCTCAACAGATGGAGGAAATATGTTTTTATATGTAGTCTTTAATGAAACTGTTGTATTGTACTCATTACAAAATGGTGAAATGTTGACTTTAGGACGATTAATTAATTAGTCTAATCTGTTTTGTGTTCGTTCAGAACCTCCTTTTGCAGTTTGTCAGCGTAAATTTAAATCTAAGCTGCAGAAGAAGTTCCAGTGTGTGTTTGAGGGGATTGCTAAAGCAGGAAACCGAACCCTTCTGAACCAGATCTACACAGAGCTCTACATCACAGAGGGAGGGACTGCAGAGGTCAATGATGAACATGAGGTCAGACAGATTGAAACAGCATCCAGGAAACCAGCCAGACCAGAAACAACCATCAGACAAGAAGACATCTTTAAAGCCTCACCTGGAAGAGATGACCCAATCAGAACAGTGATGACAAAGGGAGTGGCTGGCATTGGGAAAACTGTCTTAACACAGAAGTTCACTCTGGACTGGGCTGAAGACAAAGCCAACCAGGACATACAGTTCACATTTCCATTCACTTTCAGAGAGCTGAATGTGCTGAAAGAGAAAAAGTACAGCTTGGTGGAACTTGTTCATCACTTCTTTCCTGAAACCAAAGAAGCAGGAATCTGCAGGTTTGAAGACTTCCAGGTTGTGTTCATCTTTGATGGTCTGGATGAGTGTCGACTTCCTCTGGACTTCCACAACAATGAGGTCCTGACTGATGTCACAGAGTCCACCTCAGTGGATGTGCTGCTGACAAACCTCATCAGGGGGAACCTGCTTCCCTCTGCTCGCCTCTGGATAACCACACGACCTGCAGCAGCCAATCAGATCCCTCCTTGGTGTGTTGACATGGTGACAGAGGTCAGAGGGTTCACTGACCCACAGAAGGAGGAGTACTTCAGGAAGAGGTTCAGAGATAAGGAGCAGGCCAGCAGAATCATCTCCCACATCAAGACATCACAAAGCCTCCACATCATGTGCCACATCCCAGTCTTCTGCTGGATCACTGCTACAGTTCTGGAAGAGGTGTTGAAGACCATAGAGGGAGGAGATCTGCCCAAGACCCTGACTGATATGTACATCCACTTTCTGGTGGTTCAGTCCAAACTGAAGAACACCAAGTATGATGGAGGATCTGAGACAGATCCACACTGGACTCCAGAAAGCAGGAAGATGATTGAGTCTCTGGGAAAACTGGCTTTTGAGCAGCTGCAGAAAGGCAACCTGATCTTCTATGAATCAGACCTGACAGAGTGTGGCATCGATATCAGAGCAGCCTCAGTGTACTCAGGAGTGTTCACACAGATCTTTAAAGAGGAGAGAGGGCTGTACCAGGACAAGGTGTTCTGCTTCGTCCATCTGAGCGTTCAGGAGTTTCTGGCTGCTCTTCATGTCCATCTGACCTTCATCAACTCTGGTGTCAACCTGCTGGCAGAAGAACAATCAACCTCCCAGAAGTCTGAAACAAGAAAAGATGAATCTGCAGTTACACAGTTCTACCAGAGTGCTGTGGACAAGGCCTTACAGAGTCCAAATGGACACCTGGACTTGTTCCTGCGCTTCCTCCTGGGACTTTCACTGCAGACCACCCAGACTCTCTTACTAGGCCTGCTGACAGAGACAGGAAGTGGCTCAACAACCAATCAAGTAACAGTCAAGTACATCAAGAAGAAGATCGAAGAGACTCCCTCTGCAGAGAAAAGCATCAATCTGTTCCACTGTCTCAATGAACTGAAGGATCATTCTCTAGTGGATCAGATCCAACAGTCCCTGAGTTCAGGAAGTCTCTCCACAGATAAACTCTCTCCTGCTCAGTGGTCAGCTCTGGGCTTCATCTTACTGTCATCAGAAAAAGATCTGGATGTGTTTGACCTGAAGAAATACTCTGCTTCAGAGGAGGCTCTTCTGAGGCTGCTGCCAGTGGTCAAAGCCTCCAAGAAAGCTCTGTAAGTGGGATTAATTCATCATTCAAAACTGTTATCTTTCAACAGGAGAGAAAAATTTTAAAAAATATTACTACTGTCTCTCCAGGCTGAGTGGCTGTAACCTCTCAGAGAGAAGCTGTGAAGCTCTGTCAACAGTTCTCAGCTCCCAGTCCTCTAGTCTGAGAGAGCTGGACTTGAGTAACAACAACCTGCAGGATTCAGGAGTGAAGCAGTTGTCCGCTGGACTGGAGAGTCTACACTGTACACTAAAAATGCTCAGGTCAGGATTCCGTAAACCGGTTCAACTGATGACCATTGAAAATGTTATGTTTTCTTATTCTTTCTTTTTTAAGTCACATTTTTGTTTTGTTTGTGCTAAAAGTTCATGTCTTTATTCTCCCTTTTGGCAAAGGCTTTACTCTTTACAAACACAGTAATAAGTAATATTTTAGCCATGCTACCAGAGTGGCTCTGTGGATGGTAACGTGGATCTGTGAGCTAGTCCAACTAATCAGTCTGAAAGATCTCATCAACTTTTGGATGGATTGTGATGAAATATGTCCCATATATTCATGTTCCCCTCAGTATGAATTGTAATAACTTTGCTGGTCCTCTGACTTTTCGTCTAGCGCCATCATCATGTCAACAATTTAATTTGTCCAATACTTTGGTATATGACCAAATACCTGCAGAACTAATGACATTCATCAGCCTCAGTTTTACTTTATGTTTACTTTTAATTACTAAATTAGCAACTGACATTTTACCTGCCAAACGTTAATGCTAAATGTGAACAGTCTAGATTTAACTATGTATTTGGAGACAGTTTACTCCTGTATCTAACCGACACAGCAGGATCCTCAGATGATCTTCCATGTGTGTTGTTTTGTGTGTTTTCAGGCTGTCAGGCTGTCTGATCTCAGAGGAAGGCTGTGTTTCTCTGGTCTCAGCTCTGACCTCCAACCCCTCCCATCTGAGAGAGCTGGACCTGAGCTACAATCATCCAGGAGACTCAGGAGTGAAGCTGCTGTCTGCTGGATTGGAGGATCCTCACTGGAGCCTGGAAACTTTAAGGTATGAAGAGGCCTGCTGCAGCCAAAGTCTGATAGAAGAGGTCCTTTTGGTTAATGGTTGATGTTATATGTACAATCACACTTGTAGGAAACCTTTTTCCTTTGATCAGAACAGAAACACTGGGTAAACATAAAAATGTGATATTTGTGTAGGAGGTCTACAAGGAACAACGATGATAATTGCTATTGGTAATAATTCATGCAGTTTGGTTAGATCAGATTTGGCAATCCATTCTCACTCCACGACTCATCACATATGGACATTTGGTCAAGCCACTTCGGCGTCAGTTTGTAACGCACTGGGGATCCCTATAGCGTCATAGTTCAAAGCAGTGGGAGAAGCCCTGTAGGGCCAGAACCCGGACTTTAAAAAAGGAGATCAGTGTTTGCGTTCTGTGTGAAACAAAGTCAACATTAAATATTTTTATTTGACTTACGGAAGTGACGTAACTTACTTGCGTGTTAACTGATGTACGTAGTTATTTTAACCCAAACCATGATATTTTCCTAACCTTATCCAAGTAGTTTTGTTGCCTAAACCTAACCAAGTACTTTTTTTGCACAAAATTGCAACGTTTCATAACTTTAATGTGCCGTTTCAAAATGGCGATGTTTCAGAACGCTAGCGTTTTAGTTTAGTCTAACAGGACATTGCATATTTCCTGTTACTAAGCATTGCTAAGTTGACGCGGAGCTCTAAACGTCTAAAAATGACAGTAAAGGGGTACCCGGGACGTTTTAAAGCAACACCAAAGGGCCTTGACCAAGTATCAATATGTGACGAGTCAGGAGTGAGAACGTGTTGGATTTGGAACTGTCTCATTTGAAAAAACACTTTATTAAACACTTTCTGGGGCACCACTTTAATAACAGGTTAATTAAAGCAAATTAATCAAAACCCAATTATTAAATCGATCAGTAGATTGACATTGTCTTCTAATCCAATGAAAACACACAGACAAGTTCTTGCGGATTAAATGAGGATATTTAGTTTAGCTAAATACTGAATAGCAGAATAAATAAAGGACTCAGAAGGAACATAACAGATGAATAGCAGATACTGTGATGAAATAAACCTGATCTTATTGGTGTCAGTGAAGTATGTCCTCTGATGGTGACAGTGGTAAGATGCTAATGTAACGCTAGGGCACTTGTCTAAATAGGAATTAATATATTTTGTTTGACATCAATTCTTTGTTACAGCAAAAACCATTGTTCAGCCTACTGTTTTGAAGCACTGGCAGAGATGAGATACTCCCAGTGTTTGTTTTTTTTTGCCGTTGTAAGTAGGGTTCAAGCTGAGTGCAGCTTGAGGTGTAGTTATGCTCCGAGGTGACTGCTTGAGAGCAGTTGGTAACTGAGTGGATAAGGTAGTACTTAACACAGCCGACTACCAGAACAAAGTCAACACACTACTAATGGACACAAACACGTATGAGACACTGAGACGAGACCCAACCAGCGGATACAAGAAAAAGGCCATAGAATGTCTACAACAGTTACAGAAGGACAACACCATCACCCGTGAACAATATTACCGTTTGTATCCTGGAGAAGCCATTCCATGCATTTATGGACTACCCAAGATACACAAAGAAGGAGCCCCTCTCAGGCCGATTAGCAGCATTAACACGGTCACCTACAACATTGCCAAACACATTTCCACCATCTTAGCTCCTTTGGTGGGAAACACGCCTCACCACGTCCAAAACTCTATTGACTTTGTAAACAAAGTTCGAGGACTAAAACTGGATCCAGATGAAACCATGGTATCCTATGATGTGACTTCTTTGTTCACCTGCATCCCCAGTAGGCAGTAAAAACCGCCAGGAAATGGCTAACACAAGACAACACCCTGGACAACAGAACTAGCCTCAGCCCTGATCAAATCTGTAAATTACTTGACCTCTGTCTAAACACCACCTACTTCCAGTACAACGGTGGATTCTAAACCGGTATCCCCGATTGTGGCAAACATCTACATGGAAGAAGTGGAGAATAAAGCCCTCAACTCCTTCAGAGGAACAGCACCGAGCCACTGGTGCAGATATGTGGATGACACCTGGGTCAAAATTAAAAGCCAGGAAGTGCAAGCCTTCACAGAACACATCAACTCTGTGGACAGTAACAGGGTCGTGAGAACACTGCACCACAGAGCGGAAAACATACCAACAAGCGCCCAAGCCATAGAGAAGGAACAGAACCACCTGAAGGGGGCACTTACAGCCCTAATGGATACCCTAAATGGACCTTTGTGAAAACAACCACAAAATCCAAGAAGAACAAAACTACAGGGGAGGAGGAAAAGAAGGTCAAACTCAACAACATTGTGATTCCATACGTGTCTGGAGTATCAGAGAAACTCAGGAGGATTTTCAACACACATAACATCCCTGTGTTTTTTAAACCCAAGAACACACTAAGACAGATGCTGGTACACCCCAAAGACCGCACACCCAAACACAAGAAAAGTGCAGTGAGGAATGCACAGACCTGTATATTGGGGAGACTAAACAACCACTACACAAACGCATGGCTTAACACAGAAGGGCCAACTCCTTAGGTCAAGACTCTGCAGTCTACTTACATCTGAAGGACAGAGGACACTCGTTTGAGGACCACCAGGTGCACATTTTAGACAGAGAAGATGGATGGTTTGAAAGAGGTGTCAAGGAAGCCATCCACACCAGGGTTGAGAAGCCGTCATTGAACAGGGGCCCCTCCCCTGTTCAATGACGGCTTCCCCTCAATGACGGCTTCCCCTGTCTACGCCACCACTTATCCCCCACTTACAATGCTGTCCTTTCATCACTTCCCAGGAAACTCAACAAACGTAACCTATTGGCCTCAGGTGAAGATACCAACGAGGGTCGTTCAGTCTTGGCCACAGGTAGTCTTAACGACTGTAACGACTGTCGTCACAGCAACAAGGAACACTAACGAACCAGCGGTATCGATGACCCGGGATAACGACCCCACTGAGGTTAAATAACTGAGTTTCCCTGCCAGTCAGTCAGAACTGAAGAAGTCCTTTGGATGAGGGACGAAACGTCTTCCAGTATCTTCAACCAAGTCCAGTTGCCCTTGATTTTTAACCTTCGTTGGATGAGTGGATAAGGTTTCCAGGCCAGTCTGGCAGTCTTGTTTCAGGGCCAATGGCAAAGGTCCGGGCCAAGACATTGCAGGCACAGTTATCACAAAGATGCAGGATTCAGTGTTTCTTCTTGTGACAACCTGCACCTCTCAGGTTCCACCACTCATGAACACCGCCCCTTCATACTCACTATGTAGGCAGACCTCCTCTTTGTTCAGTGCTGGAGGATGATTGTTTACTGAATTGCTTTTTTAGCTGAATAAATTCCACAAAATAATAAACTCAAATTAAAGCTGCAAGCAGTGTTGGGCGGGGTCCTTGCAAATGTAGCACGTCAGGGTGTGAGGCGGCCACATTTTGTCAGAAACGGCTTACTTCCTGGTACCATTAGGTGGCGCTAAGATGTTGAGTGAACAAAAACTCACAGTAGAACATTTAAGTTGATCCGCTTTATTCCCTAGGAGGAGTTTGTTAAAGTATGGACCTTGTAAAAGGCCATAAATGGGCTGTAATTGCACATTCAAATCAAAAGAGCTGACTTCCTGTCTGATTTCAGGTACGGCTCCAAGAGGCTTTTTTGTGCGTCTTGGGATGATACATGTATCACAAAAGTTTTGCTATGACATTGTGTGTTTGTTGGCAAACGGATGTGTTCAGGGCAGGACTCTCATCCTACATGTACAATTTGGTGAAGATCTGAGCATGCACACTGAAGTTATGACAACTTAGGGCTGCTCTGTAGAAGGCGCTAGCGAGCCATCTTGCCACGCCCATGCGCAAAACCCATAAAATATAACACTTTTCGCCGCGTCTGAATTTTATGCAAAGTTTGAGTTTTCGAGTATGATTAGGCCCCCGAAACTGAGGTTACTTTGCCGAAAAAAAGAAAGAAAATTAAAGCTGTAAGCAGTGTTGGGCGGGCCCTTGGAGCTCCAGAATATGCAGCATGGCAGCCTCACGCCCTGACGTGCTGCATATTCTGGAGCTCCGCCGGTGTGGCTGTGAATTTGCTACGCGCTTCAGACGCTGCTTGAAGGCGTTATACGTCACTTCCTGTGTCCCTTTTGTGGCGCTACATAGCACTTGGCGCTATGACTAGAAATTAATATTGACGTGTAGATTTATTCGGGACGAGACAGTTATCAAGCACATAAAGTTTTGTGCAGATGTGAGCATGTACACTGAAGTTATAAAAACTTCCTGTGTCATGGCGAATCATCAACGCCACGGACATGCCCATTGACGAATACTCACTTGAATTGGAGGTAATCACTGTGCGGCCTATGAATGGGCATTGTTCATGAGTGGTGCAACCTGAGAGGTGCAGGTTGTCACACTCTGTTCTAACCTTCGTTATGGTGGGAAAACAACAACACTACTAATTTCTTTTCCTAGGCTTATAATTCCGTTAACTAGATAAAACTAAAAAGAGAGAAATAGCATGCTATAAAACTTCAAAAACAAAAACAGGTTTGTAAAGCTGAAAAGCAGACACTGGAAACAGGCAGGTTAGGTTCTTGTGATTTATTAACAGAAAGTGAAAACACTTACTAGAGTCCAAACAGATCCAAAAGGAATGTTCAATGAAATAAGGTATCCAGACAGAAACCGAAAATTCAAACGGAAAGTAAAAAAAACAGTAGTTCAGGCAGGGAATCAGGCTAATGCAGAGAACTGGGTACATGCAACATAAAGATGAGGACACAACAAGGAGACACATCAGGTAATCAGGACAACCGGAAGCAAAACTAGACGCTGATACCCGACACAGACGATTTCACAATAAAACAGATAAAGTAAAGCAAGTTGCAACCAACCAGGACGAAAGTAACAGAATACAACGGAACGCATGTATAAATAACAGACAAATCCTACACAGAACAGGAGCACAGTACTAGAACACAGGTGCAGGGAGTAAAACAACAACTAGCAAACACGGGGAAATGTCAAAATGACAATGAAACACAACATCATAACAATCCAAAGCAAGACTGATGCATGACAAATACAGAACACAAAACCAAAACCTTAACACACAGTTGTGCGCTGACTTCAGGTGAGGCACAAATAAACTTGAAGAAAGACATCTAAGAAAGCTAGAAAAAAGATGTCAGCTCAAGGGGGTTTTAGGGCCTGCCTAAAGCTAAAATGATGGTAAAGCTCTTTAGCCAAATGAGGCAGAGTTTTAGTTGTGGAGGAAGGTTTTCTCGCTAAAATATATATATAAACTATATTCTTTGTCTTATGGGTCATGTGGTATGGAACCGTGGTCTTTCCCAGTTTCCTGACTAGTAATTTCAATTTACAACCCCAAATCCAATGAATATGGGACGTTGTGTAAAACATAAATAAAACCAGAATACAATGATTTGCAAATCCTTTTCAACCGATGTTCAATTGAATACACCACAAAGATAAGATATTTAATGTTCAAACTGATAAACTTTATTGTTTTTTGCAAATATTCATTCACTTTGAATTTGATGCCTACAACATGTCACAGCATATATAAATATGAGAGTAGTTTTCCCCAAACTGTCATTATTTCTGCTTTTAATGACATCAAACATGACATGTGCAGCATAGTGGAGACAGAACTGATCCCGACAATAATTATTCACATACATCACAGAGATCAATTTAACTCCCAACTTTAACCCATTGGAACATGAACATGCACAAAATGCTGTTTCTATCAGAAAGAGGTTTTAGAGTTGTATGTGCTATCTCCTCTTTCACACACACCTACATCCTGTTGGTCACTCTGTGTTTGAGGAGAGTGGCAGAGGTGAAGAGCTTTATGGGGGGCGGGGAGAAGCAGGCCAGATGTACATATTGTGTACATGTGTGTGAGAGGAATGTAATGTCCATGTTTGATGCTGCTCTGACCCCCCTCCTCCTTTCAGGGTGGAGCCTGCTGGAGTCCGATGGTTGAGACCAGGTCTGAGGAAGTGTAAGTGTGTTTTTCATTTGATTCATGAAAACATTCAACCATCTTCAGACTGTGACATCACTCATTCAAAGTGCCAATCAATGAACAGATGATAGATCAATAACTGCAGCTGGATTGTGTCTCGTTCTCTCATCAGATTCCTGTGAAGTCACACTCGACACAAACACAGTACACAGAGGGATCAAACTGTCTGACAACAACAGGAAGGCGACACGTAAGGAGGAGGATCAGTCATATCCTGATCATCCAGACAGGTTTGACTACTGGCCTCAACTGCTGTGTAGAAATGGTCTGACTGGTCGCTGTTACTGGGAGGTGGAGAGGAGAGGAAGTGTTGATATATCAGTGAGTTACAGAGGAATCATAAGGAGAGGAGACAGAGAAGACTGCAGGTTTGGAATGAACGATCAGTCCTGGAGTCTGAGGTGTTCTGATGATGGCGGTTACTATATCTGGCACAATAAGAAAGGAACTTCCCTCTCCTCCTCCTCCTCCTCCTCCTCCTCCTCCTCCTCCTCCTCCAGAGTAGCAGTGTATGTGGACTGTCCTGCTGGCTCTCTGTCCTTCTACAGAGTCTCCTCCGACACACTGATCCACCTCCACACCTTCAACACCACATTCACTGAACCTCTTTATCCTGGATTTGGGTTCTGGAAGGCTGGTTCCTCAGTGAGCATGTGTTCTGTTTAGGAGGGAGAGTCTCCTCCTGGTAGAGAACAGATCAGTTGAGTCTGTACAGGATCACAGAAGCTTCTTGTAATAAATCCATCAATGAACTTTGTACAAAGTGATTCAAAGTGATTGAACAGATTCCTCATTTCCATGTAAACTTCTTCCACTTCCAGTCCTTTAAAGATGGAAGCTCTGATCATTAAATGGTGGAAATGCCGTTGACTTGGACCTTCTGTCATGTGTTGCTTTGAATTCTGGCTCTTGTTCCAATAAAAGCAGAATGTTACTGTGAATGTGTTTGTTGTCTTTCTCAGCTCAGGACTACTGACAGGATTCAGCTGGAAGATACACTATATGGCCAAAGGTTTGTGGACGCCGTTGTCTATAAAGATATTTTTCCCAGTTTGGTGTGGAAGAACATTAATAGCCTGTACAGAGCTCAGACCTGAACCCCCTTTAACACTTTTGGGATAAAGTGGAACGCAGACTGTGATCCCAACTTGATCACGAACATCGGTGTTGCACCTCACTGATTCTCTGGTGTCTGAATAGGAGTAAATCCCTGCAGCAGTTTCAACATCTGCTGGAAAGACTGAAAGCAGAAGAGTGGAGGCTGTTATAGCAGCACATTAATGAAATGCTGTCACAGTCACATGTTCCACTGTCAGCTGTCCACATACTTTGGCCATATAGTGAATTACAGCCTGAGACAAAGCTGCTGTCTTTAAATTTATTGAATGTGTTTTGCCCTTAAAGTGTTTGTGTGGTCTACACCTTTATGAAATGGTGCAGATGTTTGAATTCTTGTGTTTTGCAGCTCTAATAAAACAGTTTTACTAAAGTTTATATCAATGCTGCTATCTAGCACATTCTAACCATAATAATACTACTTATCTCTTTGACAGAGCCTTCACCATCGCAGCCCCCTCCCTCTGGAGTTCCCTACCCATACACATCCACGAATGTAGCGACCTGGACACTTTCAAATCACTTATCAAAACCCACCTCTTTAGACTAGCCTTCAAACTCAAATAATATTACATTACAGCTAATATTTGCTAGTTTTATGGTCTCCCCATTATGTATATGGACATTTTCACTTAGGGGTGTCCTCACTTTAGTTGCCAGCAGTTTAGACATTAATGGCTGTGTGATGTGTTATTTTGAGGGGGCAGCAAATTTACACTGTTATATAAGCTGTACACTCACTACTCGTCTTCCAGTATCTTCAAACAAGTCCAGTTGCCCTTGATTTTAACCTTCGTTGGATAACTATGACCTGGATGACTGAGAATCTTCATAGACATCTTGCTAATCATTTTGGGATGAACACCCTCAGATTGGTACGGGAGTATGAAAGGACAGCCAGGAAAATTGCAGACTACAGGAACCACCTACGATTCAACCTGAGATGCCGACAACACAAACTTATTCCCAACAGCCTACACTTAGGCTCCACGGTAAAAGGACACAGAGCCGGAATAATCCTGGAGAAAGCACAACACCAGCTACTGAACGAGAGAGTGAGACAGATACACTTCACAATTGAAGCCCTGAACAAAGAAATGGACAACATACACCACAAACTAGAAACATATCTGCCCAGTACAGCACTGGGAAAGGTCATGGACTTCATCAATAAAGCACAGCTATCTCAGCACAACAAGAGCAAAGAAAGACAGACCAGGAAATTCCAAAACCTACAGTCCAGAGCGAGCTGCACCAACAGAACAGGAGAATTGTCTTGGAGGAGAAAGGACAATAACCCCACAACACTTGAAACAGACAACAGATGGGTGAAAAACCTGTCAGATAGGGAACTCACCCAACCAGAGAAAGACGTTCTGGCCAAAGGATTAAACTTCGCCATTACACCACAGCAACTACCAATAGTAGACCTCATCACAGCCACAGAATCGGCCATTAGGAAAAACAAATTAATAGAAACAGAAGCGGAACAGCTCAGACTAAAGGTATCTGCAGCCCTTTCTAATGCGAAGGCCCCCCCTTCCAACCTCACCATCTAAGAAAAGAAGGCTGTGACATCTCTGAGCAAGGATCAAAACATCACTATCCTACCTGCGGACAAAGGAAGATGCACGGTAGTACTTAACGCAGCTGACTACCAGAACAAAGTCAACACACTACTAATGGACACAAACACGTATGAGACACTGAGACGAGACCCAACCAGCGGATACAAGAAAAAGGCCATAGAATGTCTACAACAGTTACAGAAGGACAACACCTTCACCCGTGAACAATATTACTGTTTGTATCCTGGAGAAGCCATTCCATGCATTTATGGACTACCCAAGATACACAAAGAAGGAGCCCCACTCAGGCCGATTATCAGCAGCATTAACTCGGTCACCTACAACATTGCCAAACACATTTCCACCATCTTAGCTCCATTGGTGGGAAACACGCCTCACCACGTCCAAAACTCTATTGACTTTGTGAACAAAGTTCGAGGACTAAAACTGGATCCAGATGAAACCATGGTATCCTATGACGTGACTTCTTTGTTCACCTGCGTCCCCACCATAGAGGCAGTAGAAACCGTTAGGAAACGGCTAACACAAGACAACACCCTGGACAACAGAACTAGCCTCAGCCCTGACCAAATCTGCAAATTACTCGACCTCTGTCTAAACACCACCTATTTCCAGTACAACGGTGGATTCTACAGACAGAAGCATGGCTGTGCCATGGGCTCACCGGTATCCCCGATTGTGGCCAACATCTACATGGAAGAAGTGGAGAATAAAGCCCTCAACTCCTTCAGAGGAACAGCACCGAGCCACTGGTACAGATATGTGGACGACACCTGGGTCAAAATTAAAAGCCAGGAAGTGCAAGCCTTCACAGAACACATCAACTCTGTGGACAGTAACATCAAGTTCACACGAGAAGATGTTCACAACAACAGTTTGGCCTTCCTGGACTGCGCTGTACACATTGAAGAGGACAGGAGCCTGCAGATTGGTGTTTACAGAAAACCCACACACACAGACCAATACCTACTGTTCGATTCCCACCACCCACTGGAGCACAAGCTAGGGGTCATGAGAACACTGCACCACAGAGCGGAAAACATACCAACAAGCGCCCAAGCCAGAGAGAAGGAACAGAACCACCTGAAGGGGGCACTTACAGCCTGTGGAGACCCTAAATGGACCTTTGTGAAAACAGCCACAAGATCCAAGAAGAACAAAACTACAGGGGAGGAGGAAAAGAAGGTCAAACGCAACAACATTGTGATTCCATACGTGTCTGGAGTATCAGAGAAACTCAGGAGGATTTTCAACAAACATAACATCCCTGTGTTTTTTAAACCCAAGAACACACTAAGACAGATGCTGGTACACCCCAAAGACCGCACACCCAAACACAAGAAAAGCAATCTAGCGTATGCGGTCCAATGCAGTGAGGAATGCACAGACCTGTATATTGGGGAGACTAAACAACCACTACACAAACGCATGGCTCAACACAGAAGGGCCAACTCCTCAGGTCAAGACTCTGCTGTCTACTTACATCTGAAGGACAGAGGACACTCGTTTGAGGACCACCAGGTGCACATTTTAGACAGAGAAGATGGATGGTTTGAAAGAGGTGTCAAGGAAGCATCTACACCAGGGTGGAGAAGCCGTCATTGAACAGGGGAGGGGGTCTACGCCACCACTTATCCCCCACTTACAATGCTGTTCTTTCATCACTTCCCAGGAAACTCAACAAACGTAATCTATTGGCCTCAGGTGAAGATACCAACGATGGTCGTTCAGTCTTGGCCACCGGTAGTCTTAACGACTGTAACGACTGTCGTCACAGCAACAAGGAACACTAACGAACCAGCGGTATCGATGACCCGGGATAACGAACCTACTGAGGTTAAATAACTGAGTTTCCCTGCCAGTCAGTCAGAACTGAAGAAGTCCTTTGGATGAGGGACGAAACATCTTCCAGTATCTTCAACCAAGTCCAGTTGCCCTTGATTTTTAACCTTCGTTGGATGAGTGGATAAGGTTTCCAGGCCAGTCTGGCAGTCTTGTTTCAGGGCCAATGGCAAAGGTCCGGGCCAAGACATTGCAGGCACAGTTATCACAAAGATGCAGGATTCAGTGTTTCTTCTTGTGACAACCTGCACCAAGTCCAGTTGCCCTTGATTTTAACCTTCGTTGGATGTACACTCACTAATTTAAATTGTAGTGTGTCATTTCATCTGTGTTGTCACATAAAAAGATATAATCAAATATTTACTAAAATGTGAGCGGTGTAGTCACTTTTGTAAGATACTTTATTTTATCTATCTTTCATGTATTTTGCATTTATGTATTTTATACTGGTTTTATTGTAAAGTGTCTGAGTGTCCCGAAAAGCGCCACAGAAATAAAATATACTTCTATATTGTTAGTGCACATGTTGCTTTTGGCAGCAGTCCGTATGAAGCAGTGACTCAGAGCAGCCTGTAGGGGGGAAGTCTCTGCTCTGTTGCTCTTTTAAAGGTTCAGTGTGTAAGATTTAGTGGCATCTAGTGGTGAGGGTTGTAAATTGCAACCATCTGTCCAGCTTACCACTGCCCCCCTAACCTTTCAAAGAGCATAAGACAGCTACGGAGGCTGACACAGCACAAAAGATGTCGTTTCTGAGACAGCAGAGAGTAGCCAGTCAAGAAATTAAGTTTCTGTAAGTAGATATATTAAGAAATTGTATCTACTTAATTATTCAGTTTAACCGTATGTTATTGTGACTTGACCACTGACAGATAACGTGGAAAATGTAAACAAAGAGTGTGAAACACTGTCACTGTTTCTGCACCATAGTCCTTTATAAACCACACATTAAATAAAGTTTATACAAACATTGACAAGGGAAACATGTTCACTCTCTCTGTGATTATGGACCCTCGCCAAAACAGCAGCCATCAATAATATCTTGTCCGCTGCCAGATTATGGTGCTTTGATAGCGGCAAAAAATATAAATAAATAAATACTTTGATAGCGGTGATGAAATAGATCTCAGAAATGACAGCAACAGTTACTCACGTAATCACTTCCTCTTTAGTGGTTTTGCCTACACAACAAAAGCGCTATAGCAGCACAGAAAGAGAAGCTGGGAGGCAGGTGAAGTTCTGCACCCTTCAGACTCAGTGATTAACTTCCTCTGGTAGCAGTGCAGCCTTCTCTTTGATATAAACACAAGTCATAGCATAGCTTTCCCTGATGGCTCATTAAACAGAATTGAACCAAAGAAAGGCAGTGAAAGACTTGAAAGCGCCAGAGCCAGAGG